TGGAGCATTAGAGTTATGCAAGGGCTTCACTTCCAGAGGCTTTCAGGACAAATTTTGGACAGGTTCTACTTTGCTCATTTTTAAATAATGCTAGGAATAGTCTATGAACCTCAGACAAGTGTGGGCCATTTTGACCTTATACATATTCAAAGCAGGTGGAATTCAAGTGAATTGAATTCTCCACTCTGCAACTCTATTATTGTCCAAGAGCCAGTAATACAGAGTTCTTCTTTTGCTTCCTTCCTGTTCCTAGGGGAAAATATGCAGTTTGAATGTACAGTAATAACCCTTGTAAGAAATGTGTGAGTGTTGTCCAACCACTTTGCTTTCACTTCCTATGCCATAAATTCCTACTATTACAGAAATGAAAATACTCAATACTTAGAAAAGTACTAGGAGAACACACAACACACTTACCTTACAGCTGACTTACCACTGACATGAGTGCATGCTGACACCTTAGAAGATATTACAATGAGACATCTGTTGTGAGTACCCAGGTAACCTCATCTGTAGGTAGTGTAATTTGCATTTATTTATCAATCTAGATACTTATATGGCTCCCTCACTGTGTTACTAAGGCTTCTCACAGGTAGCCATGAATTTTCCCTTGCAAAAGAAGCACGATTATTGTCACAGGAGAGATGAAGGACAGATACACAAAGGAACAGAGTGCACTACTGAAGGTCAGTCTGAAAGCCTGAAACAGCCACTCAAAGTCTACAGAACAACAATAATCAGACCAGAAATCTCCCAAAATCATAGACTGGCTGTGACTCCTCTCATGCTTGTCCTTCCTCTCATGGTGTTTTGGCTGAGCAAAAGTCAAAAAGAAACAGTAACATGGCTTTTTGTGTCTCAAGCTTGAGACAAAATAATTCTCTCCGACTGAAATAAACATAAAATGTTAAGAACGCTGAGATTTTCTGTGTCATGCAATTGCAGATACCTTGGTATGCATTTATCCCTAGTACTCATGGCAAAATGCTTACATGAGAATTATCCTACCAATGCCTACTGCTGCTAGTGATAGCTGTGAGGGATGAGTAACAGAGGCTATTTTCATCATGCAGAAATAATTCTGCAGCAACTCATACCGAGTTTATAGCATTTAGGAGCAAAGACAACATCAGTCTACAATTCAGGAGTTTGCTAAGAGTCCTTGCCCTGAATGACCAATTTTCATCAGCTTTAAATCCAGGCTGGGTGTATGTCAAAGCTAGCTGCTTCCTAGCAAAATCTATGCAGATGATTTGAAGAAACATAGGGATGAGAGGAATTCAAATCTAATAAAGCAGTTGTACACCTAAAATAATCCTTTTTTTTTGTTTCTGTTTTTTTTGGGTTTTTTTGAGAGGGTAGGGAATCAATTATAATAAAAGGAATAAGTTTTCCTACAAAGCATTACTTGCTTTTAGCCTCCGACCATCACAGTAGCAAAATGCTAATCCTTCCTTATTTTCATCCTAGACCACTAGGAAAAAACCCAATGTTCGTATTAGAAATTCCTCCACCACAAACAGCCTCATAAGCCTAGGAATGACATTGGTAAACAAGAGTATTCATAGCTTGGTTTTGATGGGCATCTCTTTGGGAAAAACACAGACTTCATGGGTTTTTTAGTGCTCCTAGCAGTGCAAAACCACCGGGAAGCTTAGAGGTGTGAACTGACTATAAAAGCAAAGCAGACAGAAGCACAGATTTAGGCTCAGAAAGGGGCTTCTCAAAGCAGGAATTCTAGGACCTATGGGGGTAATTTGCTTTACTCTATAATGCTGTCCACTGACAAGGAGCACATGGTCATTTCTGAATAACAATGTCCATACTTCTGTACAGACCTAGATGCCCGGCATTTTCCTGGAGAGTATGAGAGCTTTTTTATATTTTTCATGCTTGGTACCAAAGACATTAAGTTTGATCCAATCTACCAGAGTGTTTTATGGCTTACACACGTGGAGGGCAGGTCTATGAACCTGTGCTGAACAAGCCTTTCTGCACCGTAACACATCACATGTTGCCTGCCTGAACAAGTTTAATGAACTTTTTCTGTCCTGAGTTCTCACCCCATCACCAAGCCTGAGAAAAAAGTGGTCTCACCCTGTCCATACCAAATGTGTCATTGGAAGGACTGTAGAAATAGCACAGATGTCCATACAACTTGGAAGATGAAGAAATAAGAATGCAATTCAATAATCTGTGAGCTCCCAGCTCCCAACACACATGACAGCAAGCTGTGAGCAGCACTGCTTCCCTTGAAGTAGTTCATTAATGATCAGAGGCATACTGCACAGGTTGAAGATGACATAGCTCAGACTGTCCTAGGGAAGACACAGATTCAATCAGCAGCATTTAGTCTCCCTCTTTCCCCATCAGACGGAACATCTTGAAAAGATTCTAATTTATAATGGCAAAAAATCATCAGGACACCTCCATTTCACACCAAAGAGAAAACAGCTTATGCAGGAACTGCACCATAGCACAGTCAGTGTGTGATCCTCTCACACCCTTGACAGTACTGTAACCAGCCATTAAAGCCACCCAGCCAACCCTTCCTAATAGCTCATAAATCAGCACCACAATTCCAACATCTGTTGTTGAGACAGCACGTGAAACTAATGGGAGGACTGAGATTAGAACCTGGTACTTCTCTGTGTCTTTCCTGTGCCAGACAAAGCATAAAAGGACATACATAAACCCCCTGAATGAAAACTAGACAGGTCAAAAAAGGACTTTATCTTAGAGAGATGACAGAAATAATTCAGCTTGAAAATATGGCAGCTGTAAGGAAAGCACATCATCCAGCAATCTTCCCATCAGGATATTGTGCCTTAGGGAAGTACAGGATATTTAACTATTTCTGAATGGCAACACAGAGCAGCATCTGCTGATTCCTAGCATCAAATCCTGCAGCAGACAGCCTGTCTTTAAGATCACCCAGTTGAGCCATGTCCAACTCCAACACAGATGGCCAGACCAGCTCAGCCCACCATGGTGTGATATAAGATTCCACAATCTAGTATGACAAGAAGCTGTTTTTCATTAAAATTCTATAAATTTGCTTCAGTATGTATTTTCCCACAAAAGATCTCAGGATGATTTAAGCACCCTAAGAGTCCCCACATCATTCATTCCAACCATTTACTTCCTCTAGCAACTCTCCACCCTCATCTTCCCCTCTGGTAAGCATCTAGAATAGATGCCAGACATAAAGATATTTTTTTCTCATCCTCTGACACTTTTCTACATGGTTAAGATGAGAGTTTTCACCCTTATTTATGAATTCAATGTCACCCTCAGCCCCTGTCCCTCTAATAGATGAACCACTTACTGCATCCCTCCGGACAACTGAGCACCCTGGACCCATTCCTTTCTTTCCACCATCAGCTGTGAAGAAACATTCATGAGCAGTAACATTTCAGGTTTTTTAAATGTTCAGGAATTTACCACAAGAGTGATGGCACCAGGGAGAGACCTTGTCTGTGCATCCCTTTATTTGCCTCCTTTCTCACACACATGAACTGACATAAAAGATAAAAGTGCTTTCTTTCCCCTACGTACACCCTTTAATTAAGGAATGTTCCTTTAATTTCTTATAGTACTCCACACATCCTTTTGATGCACTAGGGGATCACTACTACCATTTTATTAGTACTCCCCAGCAAGCCTTAAAAGGCTGAAAAACAGAATGATCCCATACTTTTGATGTAGATATTGAGTGTTACAGTCCATTCCTGCACAAAGGTGGCTGCCTGCACACACTACATACTCCCATGAACTTGTTTATATCCTTTATCTTTCTCTTCCACAACAACAGGCTCATTTCATTTCTTTATTAAGGGCCTTCAGTTTTCCCAAGTGTAAAATACATTAGATGTAAAACTTCAGCAGTATAATAAGACTTAAACTAAGCTAGCTTCAAGTCAATACTTCCACTCTCAGCTTCTGGCTTTAAATCTCAAGTCTACCACCAAGTGTCAACACTTGTACCCAGCTCTGGTGCTGATATTCCATGGCCAGCAACTTGACCCTGGCCACATCATTTCAATTATGCTTCCCATCTTTCTTGTTTGTATAGTGCTTGTAATTCTCTGGCAGGGGAAGCCATTCATTCCAAATATTCTTACAGTAAACATGTCACAGTACCATGACAAAAGGTACTATGGAAGTGTAAAATGATAGTAAAATGTTATTAATGTGTGTATGAAGATGCCATCACCTGAACTTCCAAGCACATTTTCAGTCCTGGAGAAGACATCAGAACCAAGAAACAGAGCTGAAATAAAACTACCAAGGGTATAATGAAGGGTACAATAACAATAACAATTTTTTTTTTCTAAGATCAAGACAGAAACGTTTTATTTTTTCCTCAAGTGCTAATCCAAAACATTACTGGCATTTTTACAGTTCTTGGCATTCATCAGTACTAAGAATAGTAATCAAAGTGTTTTCCCTTCAACTGAATGAGACCAAAGAGGGAAATAAATTCCCACATTGAAAAAAAATAGCAAAATACTGACATATTCATTTAGCTCCAAGTTATTGTTTGACACTCATATTATTAACTTCCTATTCATCTAGAAAGAAAATTCCTTTGTAACAATATAATTTAAGGTCTGTGCAGCAGCAAAACTCGAATCTAACACTGTAGTCATAACACACATATATATATGCCTGCACATCTGTACAGCCAAACTGAGTAATCACCTCTTGCAGCTATAAACTTCCATCTTTTACAAAGATTTTTGCAAAGTGGAGGTGTGTAGAAACATAGCTGGGCAAATTGATTTTGGAATCAGTTCAAACCTGAAATTAAATGCTTTGTGACAGCTGTCACTATTTCTTTGTCATGCATCAAAGAACATCAGGCCATAGTATGACTTCAGCTGAAGAACATATATCCTTTCGTCTAAACTGACTGTTCAGTGCTCTCATGACAACTCTTGAGCACATTTCTTATACCTTTAATTGATATCCAGCAGGACATTACATGTGAAATTCCACTTGCTTCTTTCCTATCAGGAGTATAAATACTCATAGGGTCTCAGCCAGCTTTAAGCCTTGCCAAGTAAAATGCAACAGTACAACTCAGAAGCAATCTCCAGACCCTCAGCAGCCACTCCAGAGGCCTTCCACTACTTCTGTGGATTAGCAGTTACCATTGTTTATTAGTCTACCAAAAGAGAACCACAAACACCTTTGGAATAAATTACATGACTGCACATTCCCATGGCTTGTACCACAAGCTTTCTCCAATTTGAAAACTAGGCAAATAAAAAACCCTTTAGTCACAAAGGTTTAAGTCTCCATTAGACTGAGCAACTTGCTTTGCTAGCAGGCAATGTGCCAGTTGTAGGGAGAGCTTGGGAATATGTTGATGTACATATACCAAATACAACTGATCGTATTTCTCTACAGTACAGTTGCTAAAATGGCAAATTCAATGAAGATGGGACCAAATGTTAACACAGAATACAAAACATTACATCCTAAGGATTCTCAACATGACCAAATATTTTATTCCTTAAAACAAAAGAGGCAGCAGATCCTTGGAGACAGACATCTGAAGAACTGCATCTGGAGGACAGATAAACAGCATATGGGTCATAAGCAGAATGCTGTTGCAATACTGTTAATCAAGATAGCTCAGCCTGATGTTTTTCATCCCTTTTTCCACAGGAGCCAACCAAGAACTGTACTGTAGAATTTTGTTCAAATTAGCTTGGAAATGGACATGGAATTTAGCTGTAATAGCCTGTGTTTGTGCCAAGTATTGCTGCTATAACACATTTCTCTTGTTAATGTCTTTAAACTATGAGAACGCTGCAATTACTCTGCATTGATTTTAAACGCAGACTTAGCGCAGTAACGTCTCCAACTTGTAAGCAAAACATCAGCACTATAAATCAAACTGTTAAAGTCACTGTTTGAGCCAAACATGAGCAAATTAATAGAGAACAAGTATAGAGATCTGTCTTTAGATTTCTATACATTATTCTGTGGACTTTGGCACCCGCTGCTTTGTGCTTTATGCCCTCCACACAGGGGAGGAAGAGAATTGCTGAGTGACAGTAGCTTTGCTGCTGCATCCCTCACTGTTAGTCCATACACACAGAGCTGAAGATGACTTGCAGGTTCTTCCTTCTGCAAGGTTAAGAAGTGCAGTCACAGGAAAGCCATTCGTTTGACATTACAAGCATTTCACATACAGTGGAAATGGTGTCAGAATCTCTAAACACTGTGCCATAAAAGAATGCCAGAAGAGCAGAATGTTGCATGAGAAGTGATAATTACTTGATATAAGATTTGATTAGATCAATATCTCTGTGTAATGTAATGAAACACTTCATCAGCACAGACGAAGCCTTCAGTGCACAGTTAGGGCAATAAAATTAGATAAATTCATTATATATAGAAGTTTCTTGCTCAGAAGACTAGAGATATTTTAGGCTTAAACTTGCGATGCATACAATAGCAACACCTAAGAAGCAGGCAATGATGTCAGAAAAAGATTCCAATTAAAATTAGGTTCTGACACCTTGTCATCCACACCTGAGCAAATGTGTCCAGAACAAAATGAAAGGCTTATTTTTAAATCTGCCGGCTTCCAAAATGACACTATGGTTCCAAGACATGTGCTAGCTTCCTGATTTTTCCTTATCCATAACAGAGGTGCCAAAAATTCTCTTGTCTGTGATGTACACAGCTGAAGAGAAGAACCCCAGCACTGCGCTGAATCTGCCTGGACACTCCATAGACATTGGAACATCTCAAAGGTGCCTCTGGTGCTCTCAGATGTGTGGCTAACACACAGCCATGGGTGGGGGCAAATGCAGCTGCTCAGACAAACCCCTGCTCACAGGGAAAAAAGAAAATAAAGAAAAAAAGGAAGGAAGGGAGGGGCAGAAAACGCATTTCTTCTGAGTGTCAGTACCAGAGAAAGAAGCTGTTGTTGCTGCACTCTAACCAGGCAATGACTGCAAGGCACTTAATTTTCCAATTAATTAGGTCCTAACTCTAAATGTAGAAGTAATTGATGTGTCAACACAGACAAATGAAACAACTCTCGACATAAAAGCAAGGACGTTGCTCTACCCCTCAGCACTGCATGACGGATTCTATCATTTTTTGTAAAGAATTGCGTCAGTGAGAGGCAATGCCACTGCAGCTCAGCAGCCATGTAGTGGCATATTTATTATGTAAGGTGCCTCTACATCATGCCACACTTTTAGCAGGCAACACATCCCTACAAAACTCACCACCTCTTTTCTTCAACTGTAAAAACTCCTTTATCATGTTTTCAACATGTGGTTCACCTGAGTATTCACTGACACCATTATCTGTCAAACATGCTGCGTGACATCAATTCCACACTTAAAATCACAAAGAAATTTTTGCAAAGAAATCTTCTTTTCAAAGCTCTCTGAAAAATAGTGGCCAATTGCCCCCAGTTAGCTTGACTGTCACCAACCAAGACTTAAAGCACTAAGAACTTAACACACACCAGTGAACCTGCTACTTTTCCTTTATTTCCCTTTTGCTGGGCATCATCCATTGCCATTTAATCAAATTTCTTAACTACAGTCTTTATGGGGCAAGGGATGTTTTCTTTGCCTTCATCTATAATGACCACTAGAACAGGGAGTTATACTGGGTTCTACAAACCTTACTGAAGAAATAAAGCCGGCAGAAAAAGGCACAGGGAAGCCAACACAGGAGTTAGTTGGGAAGTTTACATAACATCAGAGCAATTCTTCCCTATCTTTTAATTTTGTTCTATAAACACACACCCACACATGTGCACACACAAACACAGAGTTAGAAAGCATATCAAGAATTGTTGTAAGCCTTTTTGTAATGCTAGTCTCTTTTTTTTTTTTTTTTAACTAACTAAATTACTGGCTCCAGGTAGGAAGCTATTGACGAGCTTCTAAAATGCTTGATGGAAAGTTGCAAACTCACTGGCAACCGAGGCATTAAAAACAAAAATACTCCCAAACCCTTCACTAAGCCATGCAGCTGTTACAGGTCACTATCAACGTGCTGTACAATACTTCAGTTCAGAATACCTGAGTTCCTACCATTCCACTACCTTGCTCATATATCACTACTAATCTCCCTTTGAAAGAAAAATATATTAACAGGATTAACTAGAAATTCAGTAATAACTTGGGGAGGCAAGTTTCGTTTAAGTTTAAATGAGGGTTTTCAGAAAGTCAATTAATAAATGCTTTTTACTTTATCCATTTAGTGTGTGCTGGCATTAAAGTAAGGCATCATCCAGTCGTTCAGCATCTGAACTATAAATGTTAGTGTGTAGGAATGGGAAGGAGCCAGACGACTCCAGGGATGACAGGCTGGTCAAGGGATATCCCATCTTTCACCTTATCTAGGTCAACAGTTTGAAACACACTGAAAAAATTCCCAGCTAACAGGACAGGACCTGTTGGCCCATCCCAGTCCCCATGTTGCTCATAGCAACTGGCAGCTTTTCTAATATCTAAACAGCAGCATTAGGGGATGAACAAGGACAAATATTACCTCAACCAGTTCTCTCTGGAACACCATCAAGATGTGATGTACAGGTGAAGAAGGCTTGCTTAATAGAACCCAAATTTCTCTGTTCTGCAGCTGAAGGATACCTGCTTACACTAAGGATAGCAGACAGTTAACTTTTCACCGATTATGAAAGCTTCAGCACAGAGAAACAGAAAGGAATTCCCATTTCAACGAGGTAAAAAAATTAGCTCAGCTCAACACTATCTTACTCAAATGTTTTCCGAACTCTTAACACACAGCACTCGAGACAGATGAAAGGCTGATTCAAGTCAGTTCTTACTTCAGCTCTTTCTGAAATTGTATAAAAACTCATCCTCCTCTCAAGTTGTTTAAATATCAGGAAACATTACTTTAGCTCTGTGAAATAGCTGGCTGAGGGACACTTCTAGCTTCCATGACTTTGACTCTTCTTTGTGCATACATCACGTACAGGAGGGGTTACACAATGGTTATTGCAAACCCTCTGATGAGAAACCCCTTCTTTGGGCATACATCACAGCAGGCCTAAATGATTATGAATAAGAGCAAATTCCATAAGAGTCCATTTCTGTGACACCTAGGGAAAAAGTTAATTCCTTATCTGCTTCACTACAAGCTTTGAAACACTCCTCCTACAGAACCACCAGTCACACGTGTCACAACCCTACAAGCAGCAAAATTGTGGTTTCTGACTTTATGAGGGCACTAAAGACAGAGCAGAAGACAAGAGAACAGCAGCAGCATTGCAGAGCTCACTTCTCTAGCACACAGTGGGCTTGGCTTTGACTGTCTATGAACCTCCTAACTTCCAGATGTCACATTCAGCAGCACCCCAAATATGCTATCTTACTCCCTTCTGCAGGCAAGGACTACATCAGCCAGCTTCTGGTTGCACGATTAAATCTGGGCACTGGCTGATCTCAAAGTATTTCAGAGATACAGAGTAGCTATCCTAAAGCATATGTTTTAGATACTGGGCAACCGAGTTCTTTCCTAATAATAGAAAGTCTTCCAGAGAGAGCAGTGACAGGCACATCTTATTTAGCAAAGTGTACAGTGAACAGTTCTGGCTTGCAATAAATTTTATCTCTCTTTAATTCGGATATAGTCAAAGGTGCATACAATTGGAGACAGCAGTCGAAGGAGCTTATGATATATATGAACATATTCAGAAATGTATTTAAAATTTTATTTCTGTTTAGAGACTTTCACTTCAAGATGCTGCTAACGTGTACGACAGACAAGCACTACTCCTGGCATTCTCCATTTTATACATCTCTAGTCTCTATACATCTATCTCTACACATTAGCCACTCTATACATCTCTGGTATTCTCTGTACATCTCTATTCCCTGGCATTCTTCTAGTCAGCATGAAAGGTGCTGACTAAGCATTTGCTCCTTTTGTGAAACAGCTTTCAAAAGTAACATGGCTCAGGTTATGATCTGTTTAAAAATAAAACCCAGACTCTTCTGGG